ACGCGTCCAAGTTTGAATCCGAGCCCAATTCCGCACAGTCTTCAATTCTTTTTTATTTTCAAATTTAGCTTATCTAATAATCGCACACTCTGATGAAATGATAATCAAAATACACACAAATCTCAGTGGAATGATGAATATATATGTTTCTTTTTGCATTCTCCTAATACGGATTTCTTTGTTTTCTTTTCCCTCTCTCCCTCTCTCCTTTTTTTCTCGAATGTTCTTTTTCTTTGGCTTTATCGATTGATTGATTGCTCTCTATCTGGATCACTGCAAAGTTTCTTGTGCAATTCTAGCACGTACATACACACTTTTCTGTCTTGCAACATTTTCCTATGAATTTTCTGTGAATCTTGTTTTGGTATTAGCGTGGTTTTAATGGTGATAATGCGGATGATAATATGACTTGCGAGTATCAGAGAAAGCATGTGAAAATGAGTATTTTTGTAGCCTGAATTTTTTTCCGTTTAGTTGGTGGATCTCACACAATCAATTAATGATAATATCGATTTACAGGTCGCGCCGAACAGCGGGTTTTTTTTGAAAAATCGAAATTTGGAAAAAAAATTTACACCATGAAGATTTCTGAAGCCTAAAAAACAAAAATTTATGAAAATCCATGAAAATAAAAGTCTGAAAAAAAAATAGAAAAATAAAGTTACCTGAAAATATGGAATTCACACAAAAAAAAAGACAAAGAAGGGGAAGAATGAAATGATTATCACAAAATGCAACAATTGAAAAAAAAACCAAAACTTGAATTTTTTCGAAACGATCCAATCTTGACAAAAGTTGATATCACGACCTGCGACGACATATGCATCACTAGTCTGGACAAAAATTACAAGAACTTTGCTTTTTGAAGAAAAGGATTTTCGAAGACTTCCGAAAAAAAAACGTTAGAAGATTTCGAGATGATCATTTCCTGATAAAAATTGATATCACTACCTGATATTGTCTCTATTTCAACAATCTGAACAAAAATTCCGAAAAAAATTCTGACTTTTGGAGAAATTTATTTTTAAAGATTTTCGAGGATTTCTCTGTTAAAAACTTTAAAACCATTTTTTTTGGAAAATTTTCAATTTTAGCCAATCAGACTACAACTTGAAGTGGGCATGCTCTACTGCATCTGAAAAAAATTTCTTAAAGGTGGGGGGACATGAAAAAAATAATGTTCTCGAAATTCCGTTCAAAGATGCCCCTCGAGGAGTTGAACTTGTGAGGGCGATGGTTGAGGGTGCGGCGCCGCTACCGACTGAACCACGCGGGCAAAGAGAAAGCGCACGCCCGATTGCATACATAAAGGCGAGGACGACAGCTGTACGCAGAGTGACATTAAGCGTTGTACACCGTCACGGTAGAATGCATACTCTAGCTACAAAAAAACTACGAAAAATCTCCTGTCCCCCCACCTTTAAGAAAAATTCTACTACAGTAATCCGCTCTTCAGACATATATCAAATCATCAAGATGACGTCACTCACAAAAGCAAGTCCCTTCAACATAACACATAGCATTGAGAACACGTGCAATTCGGGCGGACAAACAACGTGGGCGGAGTTTGGGGAGAAAGGAGGGGCGGAGCTTGATAGAACGCCAGAAAATAGGGTCATACTCAGTCTAATGACATTTTCCATCTAAATAATGCGGCCACCGAAATGCAAAAAAATTACCCGGGACGATCTGAATGTGATTTTGAGTTGTGAGTTTTAAAATTAAGTTTCGAAGTTCTGGTCTAAAAATTTTTGAAAGATCGGTCTAAACATTTTCGAAAATTCGGCCTAATTTCGAAATGACTAATCTAGAAATTTTTTAAAACTGTAAATGTTGCTGGAAAATGTCGAAAATCTGACCTACAAATTTGAGAAAATTGTACTAGAAAATTTCGAAATCCTGGCCTTAAAATTTCGTAAAAATCTGACCTAGAAAATTTGAGAAAATTTGTCTGAAAATCTCAGAAATTTAGCCTAAAAACGTCGAAAATCCGACCTAGGGAATTGAACATTGTTGAGTCGCTACTCAGCCAAATGCCGCGGCAATATGCAACGCGTCCAAAACTTGGCTTGTCGCCAATTTTCAATTTCAGAGAGGTCCCACCTCACGAAATAGTCCTATAAAAGTGGCCCAGAATTTTTAGATTAATTTGAAAATTTCCCAGTAAGCTAAGAAAAACCAGAGCTACTTTTTTGTAGTTGACAACTTTTTTGTGCTTCCGCTAGTTTTTGAGATATGCGCTGCGCGCGTAGACTTGTCTTTCTCTTTTCTCCACTCTTAGCGTGCTCTCACTTAAAAGGCGCATATCTCAAAAACTAGCGAAAGCACAGAAAAGTTGTTAATTACAAAATTAAAGCTCTTGTTTTATTTAGTATACTCTGCAAATTTCAAAAAAGTTACTTTGTAAGTTTTCAAGATATGCGCCTTTGAAGTGAGAGCGCGCTTACAGTGGAGGGAAGAGACACAGAGAAGCACCCTATTTTATCTTAAAGGCGCATATCTCAAAAACTAGCGAAAGCACAGAAAAGTTGTCAACTACAAAATTGAAGCTCCTATTTTGTTTTGTATACTCTGAAATTTTCAGAAAAATCGACAGTTTTTGAATTACTTTTGTAGGACTTCAAATTTGACTATTTTCCACTGCAAGAGGAATTTCACTTGCTTCGAAAATTTCAGATTTATCATTGGAATTTTTGATTCATTTTCCCGAATTTTCAAGCAAAATTTCTGATTCTGAATCTTGAAAAAAAGAGCAATAGAGTCTATCAAATCGCCGATAAACTTTTTGTACCAATTACAGTAAATCGATGCTTGAAACCTTCTCAGAATAAGCTTGAAATTCCAAAGTTACCTAATTCAAACAATAGGTTTGAACTCAGCTTGTTAAGATCTTCAAAATAAGCCCAAACACACCTAGGCTCCGCCCACTTCGAAATGTGTGCTTTAAAGGCGCATGGACCCCCAAAAAATGAAGTCGAGAAAAATCGGTCATTAGTATACTCATTTTTAAGCTCTTGACAAAATACGTGTAAAAAATGTGTTTATTCTTGGTTTGGGACAAAAATAAGAAAATTAGGAGCCATCGAAATTTCGAATCTTTTTCAATTTTTTCAAAAGTGTTTAACTCTATTTATCTCGGTTTCTGTAAAATATATTTAAAAATGCTAACAGACAAAATATTACTGATATTATGATGAACGTTTTGTTAGTTGATCACTTTTTGATATCTCCCACAAGAAATGAGATAAAGTAGGTCAAATTTAGAAGACCCTTCTGTCGCGGGCTCGGCAGGGTCTCTAAATTTTCAGCCAATTTAACTCGTTTTCCGTAAGAGATATCAAAAAGTGATCAACTAACAAAACGTTCATCATAATATCAGTAATATTTTGCCTGTTAGCATTTTTAAATATATTTTACAGAAACCGAGATAAATAGAGTTAAACACTTTTGAAAAAATTGAAAAAAATTCGAAATTTCGATGGCTCCTAATTTTCTTATTTTTGTCCCAAACCAAGAATAAACAAATTTTTTACACGTATTTTGTCAAGAGCTTAAAAATGAGTATACTAATGACCGATTTTTCTCGACTTCATTTTTTGGGGTCCATGCGCCTTTAAAGCAAAAATTTCAAAATTTGACAAAATGTTGCTGGTGATATGATGAACATTTTGTTAGTTGATCACTTTTCGTTATCATTGATAGGAATCGAGAAAAACGGGTCAAAAATGACGGAATTAAAATCCCTCCAGTTACCCTTTTGGACTAAATCGATTTATAATTTTATTCAGAACCTCCATCTCCCGAACAACCGCCAAGACTTTCTGATTCACAATGCCAGTGGTACTGCTGTTCTAGCTTTGAAAGGACGTCGACCTAAAATCGATGATTCCCAAACTGTTTCCATCAAAAATCCCAACACCCGCTACAATCAGCATGCCACAAGCCAGTTATTTCATGGAATTGGTTCACGGAGAGGGCCCACAACAGAACCAAGTGACTCAAGGTTTGGCCTGGTGTTTGATGAAGACTTCAGAAGAATCGGTACTCGAAAAATGGCAGCTAAGGATTTCTACGAGTTCCGTTTGAGATGTCCGATCGTTTCGACAAGAGTTATCAGTCTTCCTGAGAAGAAGCAGTTGCACATCAATCAGGAATTTTTTCCACGACCTATCCGACTGCTGGAATTCCAAAATTCCCAAGATCGGAAAAAGGTTTTGGGCGTAGAACATCTGAATATACTGTACTGTAATACGAAGTTCTACAACTTCGAAAACCTCCAACTTTATATCGCCCATCGAGAAATCAGCTCAGGAACTTTATCAATCACTTTGGAAAATGAGATTGATAAAAAGTTTGTGTGTAGCCTTATGCAGTCTCATAACGTCAGCACATGCTTCTTGGAGGACAAATGCGACCCTAGCGTCCGAACCATTCATCTAAAAAGCTTCCCGAAAAACCTTGTCTCCCTGGATGATCGAGAATTTTACATTCGGCGTGTCTGCAAGAAGAATCTAGTGGAATTGGAAACGCTGGACAGGCTTGAGGATCCCGGTCAGTTCCACCTGATGAGCCAAGACCTGACCATCTGCATTCAAAGGGAATTGGCTAGGATCACCAACATGAAGGATCACTGGACAGTCCAACACATCAGCAATTCTGACTATACAGTAATCTTCAATAGTTTAGAAACTGGACAAAGGCTTGGATGTTGATTTATGAGAGAGTTTTGGCATCCGAATAATCGAAGATTGGGTCCAGGATGACAATTTCGGGATGATTGGACTTGAAGGATGGGCTTTTGAAGCTGTCAGAACCGCTTCGGATCGATTAACAGAGATTTTGAAGGCGATAGAATTGCCATCAGAAGAGTTGACTTTTGGAATTGGAGAGGCTTTTACTAGAAGCCTAGCTTCAAGCTTTGAAGTTACCGTGGACATTGATAAGTTCAATCAGAAGCTTCAGATCTATGGTAGCCAAAAAGAAGAAATCAAGAGGAATCTGGAAAAATCTCCTGGCGTGGTTCAAGTCGCATCAAAAATCCCAGTTTGCTTTCCATACCTCAACAAGCAGATTCTCAAAATTCTTAATCCAAAAATTTTGGAAAACCTAGGAAAATCCTTAGGCGCCACGAAGCTTCAATTCAACGGTTGCTCTCGAGAAATCGAACTCGAAGGATCTCTCCTCGCTTACCAGATGCTTTTGGAGGGATTGAAAAAAGTCAGCGATACATTTTTTGTCTTGGAAACCACAACCCAAGGATCCATCGAGTGTCCCGCCTGCTGCGTGCAAATCGGAGTATCCAAAGACTTTCTCCGTTTTCAATGTGGTCATACGATGTGTAGAGGATGTGCCAACACTATGGTCCGGTCCAAGATAAGTGATAACGAGATGAGAATTCAGTGTTTGGAATGTGAGGCTCAGATGGAGCCAAGAGAAATGATGGTGAGTTCAAATGGGCCCTAATTTTCTTATTTTTGTCCCAAACCGAAAAAAAAAACAAATTATTAATACGTATTTTGCCGAAAGCTTCAAAATGAGTATACTCATGACCTATTTTTCTTGACATTGTCAATTCTAAAACGTCGCGGTTTTAAAACTCCGCGGTTCTAAAAGGTCGCGGTTCTAAAACGTCGCAGTTCTGAAATGATTATTCCTAAAACGTCGCAGTTCTGAAATGATTATTTCTAAAACGTCGCAGTTCTGAAACGTCGCGGTTCTAAAATTTCGCGGTTCTAAAATGTCGTGGCTCTAAATCGTCGAAGTTCTGAAATGTTCATTTCTAAAACGTCACAGTTCTGAAACGTCGCGGTTCTAAAATTTCGCGGTTCTAAAATTTCGCAGGTCTAAATCGTCGCAGTTCGGAAATTTTCATTTCTAAAACGTCACAGTTCTGAAATGGTCAGTAAGCAATCTAAATTCAAAAAAAAATATTCACAATGATTATTTCTCTTGTTTTCAGACATTCATCCTTGGAGAAAACTTCATTCAGGTGACTCAAGACACCAAAATCAAATACCTCGCGAATGATATGAGAAATGCCCTAGTCAACTGCGACCCCAATTCGGGATTCTGCACTACCGTAGACTGCCCTGGAATCTTCTTCAAGGGACCTGTGGAGCAATTGTGCAAGGAATGCTTCAAACCCTATTGTGGACAATGCTTCGAAGAACACCCCCTGAAAACTTGTTAAGAGTATCAAAGGCTCAAAGAACCAGATGCCAGCATTCAGGAGTATCTTAAAGAGAACGAGGGGCGTGTTAAAAGCTGTCCAAAATGCGAGGAATCGATTGAGAAAACCTGAGGATGTGACCATATGGAGTGCTCGTGTGACGCCCATTTTTGTTTTCTGTGTCTTCATGTTTCGGATTCAACAGGAGCCATCTACAGGCACATGGCGGAGAAGCATCGCTCAATTAATGGGAACTTAGAAGATTTGAGAGAAATACTTCAAGAGCGAAGGGAGAAAGTAGCAGAGCTAGTCGCTCTGAACCATTTCTTGCGACTTCAACTTTTCTCATAACTGATATCAATATACACATCTTTTAGCCAATTTATCTTTATTTCCGTTAGAGGCATAAAAAAGTGATAAACTAAGGAAATGTGTAAAATTTTAAGATCTACATTTTTGCTGTTTACAAATTTTTAATAGCTAGCCTACTTTTCAAGATACGTCTCTTCAAAAGTTGCACACCTCTTGCCACCCTCCTGGTTGGAGAAAGCAGCAAAGGGGGCGTAATCTTTGAAAGCTCATAACTTGCTAACAAAATTAGTTATCAAAAAATTGCCAACTAACAAAATATGTAAAATTTCATGAGCTACATTTTGATAATTGACAAATTTTTGTTATCTTTTATAGGAACCAAGATAAATTGAGTTAAAGCTTCTCTGCCCCCCCCCCCCCTTTTTTTGTTGCTTTTTTTGTTATTTATATTTCCTATATTACTTTTTTTTTAAAACAACAATAAATCGATTTTCATAGAAAATCGATTTTCTTTGAAATTTACTTCAAAATGAGCCCAAACATGACCTACTTTTGAAAAAAATTATTAAAAACTTCAAATTTTCAGAGGACCCTAGTTTTCTTACGTTTTCTCCAAACGAAGAAAAACGTAATTTTTAATACGTACTTTGTCAAGAGCTTTAAAATGAGTATACTCATGACCTATTTTTCTCAACATCACTTTTTTGGGGGTCCATGCGCCTTTAAAGCACACATTTCGAAGTGGGCGGAGCCTAGGCGTGTTTGGGCTCATTTTGAAGATTTCCGCAAGCTGTATTCAAAATTTTAATTTAAATTGAGTAATTTTGAAGTTTAAGAAGTTTTTAATTAATTGAAACTTTGGTCCAAAGTCCACAAGTTGAGGTAACATCATTTTTCAAAAATTCAGAAAGTTCAAAAAATGCAGTGTAATGGCACAAAAAATAGGGTGGCAAAGTCAACACGTAATACAGAATGAGAGCAGAAAAAATAGGAAAGACCGTAGCATGGAGAAGTGAGGTAAGAGATAATGATAGCCTAGAATCTAGGTAGGCTTAGACTCTAGCTCCTGGAAGTCTAGCGTTTGTAGTTTGTGCATGTACTCCGAGCATAATCACAACGAACATCAAAACGAAAACGGCGACCAATTCAATGGAAAGAACGTCTGGATCGGCGATTGGAGTGGTGAAGATCATGACTATGGATAGCCAGGTGATAATGGCGTGGTACTGGAAAAATTGTAATTATCGTAATGATCTTATGTTTGAGATCAATTATCTTGGTTCCTATACGAGATAATAACAAATTTCTAACTAATAAAATATTTCTCACACTTTGTGAACATTTTCTTAGTTGATACTTTTTGATATCTCTCACAGAAACTGAGATAAATTAACTTAAAGTTGAGCAACCTGGACGAGTCAGCGATAGAATGGTCCTCTATTTTATATCAGTTATCTAGATTCCTATGAGCGATATCAAAAAAATAGTTAATTAACAAAATGTTACTGATATTATGATAAACACTTTATCAATTGACAAAGTGTGCAAATTAATTACCTTGATTTTGGCGAAGAGCACCTTCTTGAGTTGAGTGATGAGGAGTCGTTGATCACCGTCTGGTTGGGGTTGGCTCTCTGAAAATTATGTTGGTTTCTTACAAGGGAATGTCGTTCGAATCTAGGTCATGACTACCCAAAAATGGAAATATAGGTCATAACACAAAATCGGAGTCTAGGTCATGACCCAGAAATCGAAATTTAGGTCATGGCCCAAAAATTGAAATCTAGGACATGACCCAGAAATCGGAATCTAGGTCATGACTCAGAAAAGACCCAGGACCCCTGATGGATGGGAAGGCCGCGAGGCATACGGCGGGTAACTGGTCCTTGGTCACCGGCTTCGGCTGATTGAATCATTGACTCCCTTTTATGGGAACAGGAATACTGTGAAACAGTTGAGATTGACACTACGAGTAAGATGTTCCTTTAGGATTTCCTTGCTCATAAGTAGGGCTGGTAAGGGTTAAGCCTTGCCACAGACCACCGTCTTGCACCCATTAAACCAATGGGATATGCGGGTGGAACCATCTGTGGTTGGGTGTTTCCTTTACTTGACTCGCCAACATTATCTTACCGCTCTTAGAGCACAAAGATAATGGCCCCTCACTTACATAATCTCCCCAGCGACTGGTGGTCCCTCCTAGAGGGTTCTTGCCACTATCGCGCAACAGGCTCGCCACAGGCCCCATGAACCCATGGACCCCTCCCTCCCCCGGGTCCCCCTTCTCTGGAGCCCAGAGAAAGCGAGAACTGATTTGTTCCTCCACTTCCATCTTCCTTTATAGTATTCCTCCTGAGGTCAATGGGACGTGGATTTTTCGGTGAAGAATTTAATTTTTTTTAAAACACTTTTTCATCCACAAAAAATTTGTCACGTTCAAAAAACTATTGAATTTTCACATTTGAAATCTGTGAAACTCCTTAAAAAGATCCTCCCTTTGACCCTAATTATCTCGTTTTTTGTTTGAGTTATCAAAAATTTGTCAACTAATAAAATGTTGCTGATTTTAAGAAAAACATTTTTGCGTTGAAAGTTTTTTGATATATTTCACAAGAACCAAGATATGTTGACTCAAAAAGCTTTCTCGAGTTTCAGCCAGTGTTACAAGCAGCCACTACGCTATTCTATAAATCAACCAAAAACTGAAGAGGTACATTCAATCGTTAGAATCTCAAATTTTCAAAAATCCCGAAATCCAAAAATTCCTCACCACGACGTAAGTCAAAATAGACGCTGAACACAACGACGATGTAGATGACCAATCCGAGCATTCCAGTCAGAAGTCGTGGAATTGTGATGTCTTCAAAAATCATGGCAATGATGATGACGGCGGTGGCGAGAAGATAGATTAGGATGGTTAGGACCGATGGCTGAATATCAGAACTTCAAAATTTTAAAATGTTAAAAATTCAAAAATTCAAAAGTTCAGAAATTCAGAAATTCAAAAGTTCAGAAATTCAGAAATTCAAAAGTTCAGAAATTCAAAAATTCAAAAGTTCAGAAATTCAGAAATTCAAAAGTTCAGAAATTCAGAAATTCAAAAGTTCAGAAATTCAGAAATTCAAAAGTTCAGAAATTCAAAAATTCAAAAGTTCAGAAATTCAGAAATTCAAAAGTTCAGAAATTCAGAAATTCAGAAATTCAGAAATTCAGAAATTCAGAAATTCAGAAATTCAAAAGTTCAGAAATTCAGAAATTCAGAAATTCAGAAATTCAGAAATTCAGAAATTCAGAAATTCAGAAATTCAGAAATTCAGAAATTCAGAAATTCAGAAATTCAGAAATTCAGAAATTCAGAAATTCAGAAATTCAGAAATTCAGAAATTCAGAAATTCAGAAATTCAGAAATTCAGAAATTCAGAAATTCAGAAATTCGGAAATTCAGAGATTCAGAAATTCAGAAATTCCGAGATTCAGAAATTCAGAAATTCAGAAATTCAGAAATTCAGAAATTCAGAAATTCGGAATTCAGAAATTCAGAAATTCAGAAATTCAGAAATTCAGAAATTCAGAAATACAGAAATTCAGAAATACAGAAATTCAGAAATTCAGAAATACAGAAATTCAGAAATTCAGAAATTCAGAAATTCAGAAATTCAGAAATTCAGAAATTCAGAAATTCAGAAATTCAGAAATTCAGAAATTTAGAAATTCAGAAATACAGAAATTCAGAAATACAGAAATTCAGAAATTCAGAAATACAGAAATTCAGAAATTCAGAAATTCAGAAATTCAGAAATTCAGAAATTCAGAAATTCAGAAATTCAGAAATTCAGAAGTTCAGAAATTCAGAAATTCAGAAATTCGAAAATTCAGAAATTCAAAAACCCTTTATAATATTTTAAAACTCACCACATAAGACCTCTTACAAGCCTCCATTAGAACTGTACAACACGATTTTGGCTCATCTACAAGCACTGGACGACAGTCTTGAAACCCGGGATGGAGCTGAAAATTTTGGAATTTTCGATTTTTAATTTAAAAACATTTAACTTCAAAATCCAAAATTAGAATCAAAGACTTACCGGCGCATGAATCCCTTCCTCGTTGGTCATTTTCGAAGTAATGGTTGTCTGGAAAATTTAATTTTTCAATTTCAAACATTTGAGGTTTAAAAAAAGTTTTTAAAAAGTACAAAAAGCTAAAAAATCCAGAAGGAAAATTTTTCAAAAAATCGGAGAATCTATTTTTATCGCTTCTCTGACGTCAGAAGAGAGTGGAAAAGACGAAAAGGAAAAATAACAACACAACAGAGAAAAGAGTAGCCAGCAATTCCCCGGAGTAAGAAGAGAAGAGACGGGGCCTTTATTCTAATCGTCATCTAAGAGCTAGAGAGTGTGCAAATCGTGGAGAGCGCCAGACAAACTACTGACCCCTCCGGAGAGGCAGAAGGAGACGACGGACCATCTTGTACCTAGGAATTTGCGTATAGCTGAGGCTGCGGAAGGAGACGGAGAGAGAAATAGTACGGGGAAGTGAGAGAGCGTTAGAAAAAAAGGTCTCCTTTCGCAACATATCTCCCCTCTCGGTCCCTTCTCGCTTGCTCACTTTCCCTATGATTCGATTATTGAGGAAAACGCGCTCTATTTTACTTGCGGTCCATAGCTAGGAACCATTGATTATTTAAAGGGAGCGTTAGAATCTTAAGACTAAGAGAAGCAGAGAAAAGAGAAGCTCTAACGTCTCTGCGTCTCTCTCAGAAGGACCTCCAACTGTGACCCAACTTATCTCGATTTCCGTAAGAAATATAAAAAAAGAAAAACTGATAAAATGTTTCTGATGATATGATCAACATTTATCAATTGATTATTTTTTTGATACCTTCTACAGCAAGCAAGATAAATAAGACCAAAGTTAAAAGACCCTTTTTTTGCAGGGTCTGTCAACTTTAAGCCAGTTTATCTCGGTTATTGTGAAAGATTTCAAAAGTAATAAGCTAATAAAATGTTGCTGATAACATGATAAACATTTTATCAGTTTAATACTTTTTGATATCGTTGATAAGAATCGAGATAAATAAGGTCAAAGCAAAAAAGGGGGAGGGGCTCCTGCCACTGTATCTCGGTTCTTATGAGAGATATCAAAAAATGATAGACTAACAAAATGTAGCTGATATTATGATAAGCATTTTGTTAGTTGACAACTTCTTGATATCTTTCACATGAAACTAGGTAAATTGGATCAAACTTAGTAGACCCATCGGTTACGACTTTGTAAGGTTCTTTATCGTTGAATCAATTTATCTTGGCTACTGTAGAAGATATCAAAAATTGGCTACTGTAGAAGATATCAAAGCTTAATTGAGAAAATAATGCTAATATTATGATAAATATTTTATCAGTTGACCACTTTTTGATACCTCTCACATGAACCCTGATAAACTGTGTCAAAGATGGCACTGCTTGTGAGGGAGTTAAAAATGCGAGCTTTTTAGGATTGAAGTTAATTATTTTTATTTAAAATGAAACTTTTAAAATTTGAATTTGATACTTTTTTGCAATTTAGAAGATAAGAATAGATTTTTAGGCTCAAGTGTTAAACATTTGCACTTCCAATCAGCAAAAGTCTGAAGAAAAAATCTGGATTTCCTAGGTTGAATTCCAAAAGTTTAGATTTGAAAAAAGTTGATTTACTAAAAGATAAGATAACATAGGAAATTAAGTAGATAAGATTTTAGAAATGAGTCATTTCAGGAATTTCAGGAAAACTCATGATTTTCAGTTTTTTTTCCAGTTTCAAGCAAGTTGGAATTTCAAAATGAATAGAAAATTGCAAAACTTTTGAGTCTCTGGAAAATTATAAATTACGAAAGACAAAGTTTATAAGGTTTTTTTCTTTCAGAAAACATAAGAACCATGACGCTTTTCCTCCATTTTCTCTTCTTTCTAATGACGCACATATGTAATACGTATTTTGGCAAAAGTTTCCGTTTTTTGGTTCACCTGAAAAGAATTTGTTGTTCTATTATTAGAACAATTTTTTCGTCATTCTAAAGAAGACATTTTTAAATTTAAGATTTTGTTTCAGAAAAAAATAGGACAACATGGAAATTATGCAAGCTTTATCAATAACAAGACTTCTCAAAAAATCAGAAATATTGTATTAAAAATAATGAAAAAATCTCCCAAGGAAAAAAATTAGCAAAAAACCTCAAAGTGCATTTCAAAACTTCAAAAAAAAATTCAGTTTTTGAATTGGACATTTTCAGAAATTTCCGGTTCCAGTCACATTCCCCTTGCATGTTTGGATGTAACTGTTCATGTGGACATCAGCATTTTGGAGACATTCAGTCTGGAAAAAATAATTGGGCAATTAACTAATTAACTAATTAATAAATTCGAATCTCACCGCAAAAGTAGCCAAATTGAAATTCTCCGGTTGAATGCTATTGGCTAGAAGGAGTTCTTGGAGTTGAGCGAGTTTCTGGAGAATTTGATCATTTTCTAGGCCATCTAGCTTGGTGGCCTAACTTTATGATGTTGAATTCTCTTGGCCACCATATATGAAATCGCCTAGAAAACACCCCAGATAAATATAGGGCTGTTTCTAGGCTATAAACTCTGGTGGCCAAGAAAACTCACGTTGGGAAAGTCAGGACACCAATTATTACGGCTTAATGGCCTAACTTTCCCAACATGCATTTTCTAGACCACCAACTTTCATGACCTAGAAATAACCTAGCTTCGTCTTGGTGTGTTTTCTTGGCCATCTAGCTTGGTAGCCTAACTTTCTCAATGGGAGATTTCTAGGCCACGAACATTAATGGCCAAGAAATGGGCTGATATTCACCTGATGTGTTTTCTAGGCCATCGACTTTGGTGGCCTAACTTTCGCAAGTTGAGTTTTCTAGGCCACCACTTGAAATGGCCTAGAAAACACACCAAATGAATATTAGGTCGTTTCTAGGCAATTTGAGGGAATACTGTAACTTCGAAAAAAACGCTAACCTCGGAATATTGAGTGGCGAATTCAGTTTGTGGTTGGGTCCCTTTTTGCATATTTTGAAGGGTCAAAACTTGGATATGGTTTGTTAGAGTCTGAAAATTTTTGGAAGATTTTTTTTCCAGAATTAATGAGAAGATTTCAATTTTTCTTAATTTTTCTAGACTTTCTCCTTACTGAAGCTTCCAAAATTCTCACTCACCAAAACCTCATACTTGACTTGACACACAATTTTGTACTGATAGCAGTTCATAGTTTTAATGAAAACTTCAACTCTTCAGGGGGCTTTTTATGTGGTGCTGGCAAAAATAAATTCGAATTGGTAATTAGATCGATCTTTTATTAGTGATAATAAACAGATCAGAAATCAGCCGTGATAGAGAAAAAGTGAGAGAAGGGGTATAGGAAAAAAGGGGGGATACTGCAGAACCGCCAATTTATCTCGTTTTCTGTAAACGATATCAGAAAGTAAGAAACTAATAAAATTTTACTGATAATTTGATAAACATTTTATCAGTTAACCACTTTTTGTTAGGGTTCACAGGAATCGAGATAAAATGGATCAAAATTAAGGGACCCTGACGAGTTAGCGATAGAAAGATCACCTAACTTTGAACTAATTTATCTCGGCTCCTCTAGAAGGTATCAAAAAATAGTTAACTAACAAAATGCTTATCATTATATGAGAAATATTTTATCAGTTGACTACTTTTCGATATCAATTACAGGAATCGAGATAAATTTGGTTAAATCAGATGGTTTATAAAAAAAAAAGGGATGGTGGTTATGGTTGAATTAGAGGTAATTGAAGAACGATGAAATAAAAGTAGTCAATAACAAATGAATTAGTTTTCATTCTTCTGGTCGGATGATCCAGAAGATGGTCCTGAACCTTCTCCAGAAGTTCCTCCTCCAGAACCTGCACCCCCTGAAGTTGCTCCAGAAGATGCTGCCGACGATCCAGCAGCTCCATCACGCTCCTCCCAATATCTCTGCTCTCTCTGATAATCCTCTTCCCATTGTCCACCTCTTGTGTAACCCGGAATGATGGTGCTAGTAGATCTGGCCAATTTTTGAAAAACTGCTCTGCCTTCTTCTGTTAACCGTTCTGGATCGTAGACCGGTCCACCAGCAACCCGACGATCATCACTTTTCTGATCCGCCGGTTCAAAAGCTTCAGAAATCGCTACATACTTTGCTCCATAAAATGCTCCAGAAGACACTTCAACAGAGTTTCCAGTGGGGTTTCCAGAAGTGGCTTCAGAAGTTGACACCGTAGCTCTAGCAGCGCCAACACGCTCACTGCAATATCTCTCCAGAGATGCATAAACAGAACGGAAAACGGACAATCTATCCAGGGAGTCCAAAATTACTTTTTTCAAATCTTCCAGATCGTATACCGGTTTACCAGCTGCTTCACTTTTTTCATCCTCTGCTTCAACCATTTTATCGAAAATAGCTTCGACTTCCGAAGAGCTGAAGTCAGCCTCTCCTCCTGTATTGACCACTGGATGGGAAATCGATACCGATGATGTAGCCTTTTTATTTTTGATCTTCTCTAGCGTTAGACGAACATTTTCCAGAAGTGCAGCGACATTCTGACGCCGCTTTTCGTATTCTGGAATTAAATCAGATTGATTTTAGGTAAACACGGGACGTCTAGAACCTACTTTCTTCGCTCGACATATCCTTGGTTGAAGTATTTTCCAACTCTTCCAGGTCGTATACCGCCTCACCAAAAGCTTTACTTGTTTCATCATATGCTTCAACCGTTCTAACGAAAATAGCTGCGCCTCTCGAACAGCTGAAATCAGTGTCTTCTCTCGGATTGACCACTTGATGAGACATCTGTCCCGATAGTCTTTTTATTTTTGATTTTTTCTAGTTTTTGACAAAAATCTTCCAGAAGAGCAGCGAAGTTCTGACGCCGCTTTTCGAATTCTGGAATTAAATCAGATTGATTTCAGGTAAACACATGACGTCTAGGACCTACTTTCGTTGCTTGACATGTCCTTGGTTGAAGTACCAGCGGCTTCACTTGTTTCTTCCCTCGCTTCGAGCATTTTATCCAAAAGAGCTCTCAATTCCAGGAAATTGAAAATATCGTATTCTCTTGGATTGAAAACTGGGTGAGAAATCGGTACCGATGATGTAGCCTCATTATTTTTAATCTTCTCCAGTTCCTGACGAATAAGTTCCAGACTCTCAGCGCGAATGCGATGCATTTTTTCGTCTCCTGGAATTAAATTAGTTTGATTTCAAATATAAGAAATCTAGAACCTACTTTCTTTTCTCGACACGTCCTTGGTTTCATCCGAGGCTTTGTCCGAGGAGGCGCTCATCTTTCGAATTTGACTGAAAAAAAAAACGTAAGAAGTAAGGTAATGAAAAAGAGAATTCGAAAAGATTTTTAACAAAAATTGTGCAGGAACAAATCCTGAAAAAATGATGGGAAACGCTACAGTATCCCAGAGCGAGTACAAAGACCTCAAACGTCATCAAATAAAGAAACTCCCATTAATGGGCTACGAGACAATGTTGACATTAAAAAACACATTTCAACTACAGTAATCCTTTTGTGTTTTTATACAAAAAACATAGCGTGTCAACCAATTACAAAGAATTTTGATGTTTGGTCATTGACTGTCTGAATCATTCGTCTGGAATCAGTTATGAGTCATAAGCTAGAGTACCTCATAAGTCATCTAGAATGCTTTGTTCGGTTTAAAGAAATTGCGATTTTCTGAATTGAATCAGTCAAAAAAGGGGCCAGAGCTATGAACGAGGATCAACCATGAAAAGAATGAGAAATGATTGGAGAAAAGGCGCTTTTGTTCGGTCAGACCAGCGAGTAGGCTGGGCTTAGGTACCCGGCTGCGCCAGGAAGCTTAGCTTCGCCTAAAGGGATTATACTACTTCGGAGAAATGTATAAAACGATAAGAAAAAAGGTAATGGGGATTTAAGGTCTACAGTATTCCTAGAATGGGGATGGGTTTAAATTGAAAATAAGTTTTGAATTGAGGAAAAAGTTTCAAAAAAGGAATCAATAACTAAATATTTACCTGTTCATTTTCTTGTCCGATAGTCCAGAAGATTCTCCAGAAGATGCTCCAGGAAAAACTCCAAAAAGTGCTCCAGAAGATTCTCTAGAAGATACTCCCGACGATCCAGCGTTTTTGGAAACTGATCCTCTCAACAATTCTAAATAGAGTATCGGTTCACCAGAGGTGCGACGAGCTTCACTTCTCTGACCCCCCTCAAGAGCTGTCAATCCCTCGAAACTTAAATCACCGTAATCTCTTAAATTGTACGCTGGATGAGGAATTGGTTCCGATGATGGAGCCTTTTTGGGTTTCAACTTTTCCATTTCCTGACGAATACGTTCCTGACGTTCCTTATTGCTTTTCACCTTGTTTTCTACAGTCTCAATTTTCTGACGAATACTTTCCTCCCAGGCAGCCATGTTGTTTTTTGACTCCTCCTGCTTTTGACGAAACTCTTCCATAACAGCAGCTTTCCTGGTGAGCACCAACTGACGAATTTCTTCGCATCCTGGAATTGAATTAATTCGATTTCAATAAAAACAGATCGTCTAGAACCTACTTTCGTCGATATACGTATCTTTGGGCGAAGTTTTGTCCGAGGAGGCGCTCATTTTTCGAATTTGGCTGAAAAAGAAAACTTGCAAGGTGTAAAAAAAGGAGAACGAGAATCAGAAGATTTCTAACGAAGAAAATTTACCGGAAAAAAAATCTTGAAAAATTATGGGAAAATTGAATACGGGTATCCTCTTGAATGACATTTTTCGTCCAAAAGTCTCATGAAAAGTCACCAAATAAAGAATTTCCCATTAATGGGTTATGAGACTCATTAACCTTTAAAAACAGATTTGAACTACAGTAATCCTTCTGCGCTTTTAAAAAAGATCAACTGGAAATTTTTAGAATGATTCGTCAGAAAATTTGAAATCGGAAGTCCAATTTTAAGCTCCACCCACTTTCTGCGTCGCATATACGGCTTGAGAGAATAGAAACTAAAGCACGTATTACATCATAATTAGATACTGTAGATTTTCGAATTCAAATCCAAAGACAACAAATAATTTGGCGGGAGAAGAAATGCAAGAACACTGAAAAAGCTACAAAAGAAATCAAAACATAAGGTGTCACCCATTTACGAAATACTTTGATTCAAGGGACATTGCTGTTTGGTCATTGGCTGTCTGGATCATTTTTCAAGTATAAGTTATGAGTCATATGTTACAGTATCTCATAAGTCATCTAGAATTCTTTGTCCGGTTAGAGCGATGTTCGAAAGAATTTGAGATTTTTGGAATTGAATCAGTCAAAAAAGGGGCCAGAGGTATGAACGAGGGTCAACGAAGAAAAGAATGAGAAATGATTGGAAAAAAGGCGCTTTTATTCGGCCAGACCAGTGAGTAGGCGGGGCTTAGGTACCCGGCTGCGCCAGAAAGCTTAGCTCCGCCTAACGGGCACATACTTCTTCGGAGAAATGTAAACAACGACAAGTAATGGGAATTAGAGGTCGACAGTATTCCTAGAATGGGGGGGGGGGGGTTAAATTGAAAATAAGTTTTAAATTCAGGAAAAGTTTCAAAAAGGGATTCAAAAACAAACGATTACCTGTCCATCTTCTTGTCCGATAGTCCAGAAGATTCTACGGAAGATGCTCCAGGTTTTTCTCCAGAAGATGCTCCAGAAAAGGCTCCAAAAAGTGCTCCAGAAGGTTCTCTAGAAAATGCTCCCGACGATCCAGCGTTTTTGGAAACTGATCCCCTCAACAATTCTAATTCACAATATCGGTCCACCAGCGGTCCGACGAGCTTTGCTTCTCTGACCCCCCCCCCTGCTTCGAGAGTTCTATCCGGAAGAGCTGTGACTTCCGAAGAGCTGATATCAGTGGACTTCAACTCCTGCTCCTGACGAAACTCTTCCATAACAGCAGCTTTCCTGCACCAACTGACGAATTTCTCCGCATTCTGGAATTGAATTAGTTTGATTTCAAATAAACACAGAACGTCCAGAACCTACTTTTATCGATTGACATGTCTTTGGTTGAAGTTTTGTCCGAGGAAGCGCTCATTTTTCGAATTTGGCTGAAATATAAAAGAATTTGTGAGAAATAAGAATGGGAAGGTGAGAAATCTAAGATTTTTGAAAGAAAAAATTGCCGGAAAATAAAGAATCGGAAAAAATCATAGGAAAACTAAAAAGGCTATAGTATACAAGACAAAGTACAAAAACCTCAAATGTCATCAAACAAAGCAATTCCAATTAATGGGTTATGAGAAGATGTTGAAATTTTAAAACGCATTTGAACTACAGTAATCCTTTTGCGCTTTTGAAAAATATCAACTACCAGAAAATTCTATCAAACATGAAACTGTAGATTTTCAAATTAAACTTTCCAGTACAAAAAATAATTTGACGGGGAGAAGATATGCTAGAATACAGAAAAAGCTACAAAAGAAATCAAAACATACAGTGTCCACCGAGTACACTATGTTTTGATTTGAGGGACGTTGGTGTTTGGTCACTGGCTGTCTGAGTCATCTGCATTTTGAAAAATTGAAAAGGGAAAGCAAGACCGAGGGACCAAGATCTGGTAGAAGCTGAGAGTCAAAGGCTACAGTATCTTATGAGTAATCTAGAACGTTGTTCAAAGAAATTGAGATTTTTGGAATTGGATTAGTCGAAAATGGTCAGAGGTATCGAGTTGTTTCCGGCTGCATATAGTTTTCAAGAGGAAATTCAAAAAAAAAGAAAGGTAAAAAGTAATGGGAAATGAGGTATACAGTATTCCTTGCTTCAACAGCAAATCTCTCTCAATCTTAAGCAGCCGAGATAAAACAAAAGATTTATATGTTTTTCTTCTTGCCAGATAGTTTAGAATATGCTTCAAAAGATCCTCTAGAAAATGCTTCACAAAATTCTCCATAAGCGGATCCAAAAGATGCTCCAGAAAATGCTCCAGAAGATGATTCAGAAATTGCAACAAAAGATTCTACAGACCTTCGATTTTCTCAAACCGCGCTCGGAAGAGCCCTTCTATTGAAGGGAATCTTTCAATACAACTCTGACAGTATGTTTCTGTACAAAAAGTCATGTAACCCGCCTGTTATATTATGTGCTCTAACATAGTTAAACATTTTAAAAACATTTTTTACACTCATTTTATTGCCACTCATCATTTCTATAAGTGCCAATTGAGTTAACACTATATCTGATTTGATTTAGACAATCCAAGCAATCATTAGGGCGCCTGTGACATTTATGTTGCATCATATTTTTCTTGTCTTTAAATTTCAAATGTATTGAATTAGAATAAATGAATAGTCAATCTGAAACTGTGTAAAAAACAAAGATAACTAGATGATCATATGATAATTTACCAGATAATAACACGTGGGCTAAGATAATTAGTTGAATAGTTAACTAACTAACACATATAAGCCGACATTTATAAACAATCTTTCGTTGGACACTTTTTTCAATAACTGTGTTAGCAATTCAGAAGAGTGTGTGTAGTGCGCTCTACCGCAAACTTTCTTTTTTTCCTGAAGTTTTCGATTTTACCAATTAATTTCCCATTTTTATATTTTTTATCAAGCGGGGTGCCTATGGAGAAAATATTTGACTCTACCTAAAATTTGTTATAATTTTGAAATGCAGGGCGACGAATTTTAATTTGGCAGATATCAAATTTCGCTTACTTTTCAATAGAATTTTTTGTTTTGATTTCAAAATCAAGATTCCAAACATTTCGAAAATTTTCCATCTTTCCCCCAAATCGCAATTTTCAATTATAATTGTTTTGTTTTCGAATTATGTCAAATTTTTTGGAAATCTGTTTTTTTTCTAGAAAAATCGCTAATCGAATCAAGCTTTTTTTAGTTATTTGATGGTGAATAGTTCTAATATTTCGTTTTAAATCCAAATATGAAAATTTTAGAAAAATTGCAATCGCGCTCCACCGAACTTTGATCTCTTTTCCTCATAGTCAATTAGTATCCTAGTGATTCATTCATTCAGAAAAAAAAATGGAAATGAGCAATCCAATTTTCCTTTATGTCGTCTTATTCTTTTTCGACAGACAGAGTGAATAAGGCTAATGGGAATCATAAACGACCGTAATAAACCATCAAATAAAGAGGACCACATTTCGGAGGTCGACAAAAAATGGCATGGCTTTTTAGTCATTTTTTCTTGGCTCTCGACATTTTTATGTATAATTGTACTGTTTTTCGAGAAAATTCTAACTTTTGAGATTCTGACTTCGGCTCAGAAGCGGCTCAAAAACGGACCGGCAATCTCAAAAACGGACCACGGCTTCTTAAAGTCTCCGAAAATTGAAATTTTTTTGATTTCCAGATTAGTGAAAACCTTTTTTGAAGATTCTGGATTTCTGGAATCCCGAATATCAGGTTTCATGAATTCTGAGAGATTGAAATTCTGAAATTTTGAAATTCTGAGATTCCGAGATTCTAAAAGATTGAAAACTCTGTAAATCCGGAATGATGAAATTTCGAAGTTCTGAAATTCTGAGATTTTCTTAGATTTTTTTCAATTGCTTTCTTACGTAATCCATCGAGCTCCGCACATAAAATCATATTGAGAATTGGCTCCGAGAGCCAATTTTCAATATCCCATAAACTATAAAAATCGGCGAAATGGGATTCGTGGTTATGAGGTTTTTGAAGGCGGGGAAGGAAGAAAAGGTTGTTATTATAATTGTGCAATTTTTGCTTTCGCCAGATTTTTTTATTTTATAGTTTCCCATGCTTTTCAGATGATGATCCCCCTTGAATTTTCTAGTTAATAGTGTCAAAAATCTTGAATTTTTTGAATTTTCCGTTTAAATTTTCATATGACCTTGTTCTGGATTTTAGGCCATACATCGGTAAATTTTTGTATAAATTCAATTTCTATACATTTGTCGAGTTTACCTCATCCTGACAAGGGAAGGTTTTTTAGACAACGGTTGAGAATTTGCTCAAAATTTGCATACTTTCATTTTAAGACATGCTCTATACGATGATTTTTAGCCCGTTCTCACTGGCTCATTAGTATTGACTATGCTGGTTCGACCCCCACTGTGGTAAAACTTTTTTTGCATTTTTTGAAACTAATTTTTGATTCAAAGTTTGCCCCCCCCCCCCCCC